TATGTAAAATTTCAAGATGAATAAGAGCAGTGAATAATGGTAAGACATGGAGAACATTTGAGACAGAGGGAACAGAAAATGCAGTGGGATAGAGGATATGAAAGGATTCCATGAGTTCAGGGAATCATACAAAATCTGATGAGGCTTCAGTATAGAATTGGGGCAAAGATGGAGTGGAAAATGAGAAATCAGGCTCTGAAGGTAGATCAGAGCCAATCTGTGGTTCTTATATTACAATAATAATTTCAATTATAATGTATTGAATACCTACTACGTGTTAGGTGCTCTGTAAAGTGCTATATATACATTGCTTTTTCCAAAGATTTCTATCAGCCATGTGACATATAAAGAATATTATTATCCCCATTTTTTCATTGAGGAAACTGAGGCAGAAAGTAAGTAGTTGCCCAAGGTCACCAACTGGAAAAGGCAGAGCTAAGACTGAAATCCAGGTGTGAATAACCACCGAGTTCATGAACATGAATGGACAAGGCAGTGATGGTAGCAACATGGATGTAGAGCAGAGGGAGTTGCGTCCTCTGAGGCATCCTATGAGGTAGAAAGATAGTGTTGTTGGGGCCTGGTGTTGAGGGATAAAACAGAGTGAGGCATAGAGGGTGATTCTAAGGTTTCTGGCTGGGGAGATGTGGTTTTGGGAATATGGTTAACCCATTTGCAGAGATGGAGAATTTAGGAAGTAGAAGAGTGAGAGGCATTATTGAATTTGATTTTGTATGTTTCATAAATTTCAGGATCTTCCAGGGGATTGAAGCTGGTCACTAGAGATTTACAAATACAGATGGCGTGTTCTGAACTGGATAGATGGATCTGGAATCAATCACCATTTTGACAATAATAGAAGTTGAGTCATGAATATAATTACTCAGGGAGAATGTATAAAAGTAAAAGAGCAGAGCATCAAGAATAGAATGCCCCTTCCTTGAAAAATTGTTAACATTTTCCTTGCTAACTAGCATAAACTTCCTAGTGTTATATAGAGACTTAAAAAAAAAATCTTTCTGATGTCTGTTGGATTATCAACTACTTGAAGACAGAGACTGTTCTGAGTAATATCTACAAGCATTTAGCAGAAAGCCTTGTGCAGAGTGTGAATTCATTATATTGGATTGTCCTAGAACATTGGATGGTTTTAGAGACAGGACTCTAAGAAACTATAAATAAGGGGCTTTGGGAGGGAGCTGTGTATTGGGAGCAGTGGAACTGAGGAGAAGGTGTCAATTTCTCCATCCATACCAAGGGTTGGGCTATTTCCCTCATTTAAAGTTGGAAATATAGTCATTTCCCAAAGTACAAATTTTGTGCTTTGCTAAGCAAAGATTCTCAGGCTTGGTGTATGATAGAACTAATGAAGGCAGAGAGAAATCTTCAATTTGAGCTTTCACATTCTGAAGAAAACTTCTGATTGTAATAAATGACAAAGTGAGTTCTTTTTTTAATTGAAGGAAAGTTGATTTACAATATTGTGTTAGTTTCTGATGCATAGCAAATTGATTCAGCTATATACATGCATATATGTATTCTTTTAAAATTCTTTTTCATTATAAATTACTACAAGATATTGAACAAACTGAGTTTTTATTTGTTTTAAAACTTAGGAATAATATTTCAACTGCCTCACACTGCAGCTGCTTAAATGAACTATTCACTGATTATTCTGGGATTTGAGAAGACTCAGGGCACCAAATAAAAGCTGTCTATTGTTATTTCATTGTTGGTAAAAGACACAATCAATACTTGATTACTCTGAATTAGTACATCCAGCCATGCAAATCTTTAACCTCAGATTAATTAAATGTAGGACCATGACCCAACCTACAACAGTAATCTTTAGTAATAGAGAATTAACTGATGCAAAGTCCATTTGTAAAGCATGTAGTTGCGCTGATGCCCAAGCTAGTTTTCTACCTATCATTCTGTCTGAAGTATCGGCAGAGTTATGGCAGGCAGAGTGTTAACATTGGCATTTCTGAGCTCCTTCCCCTTCTCCCTATTCCTGCTACCCATTTTTACCACAGTTCGTAAATGAGACATTTCTACACCCAGTGGTATTTTGCATCTTAGTGAAGATTGTTTCCTCTCTTAATATCCCAAATATTTTTACAATTGCCATTTCTCATGTCCTGAAATATTCATTAAATCATTCAAAATGTAACACTTGTGTATTGGGTACCTGCTATGTGTCAAGTACTATACTACTATGCTCGGAATTGGAGATGTCATGGGGAGCAAAACTGACAAGGAACCTGACTATACATTCTGTAATGAGACAAATACATAATAAACAAACAAAGCATAGGCAAATGAGATAATTTTTGATTAGTGTCATGTAGACAAGAGAAGCAAAAGGCAAAGGAGAAAAGCAAAGATATATCCATTTGAATGCAGAGTTCCAAAGAATAGCAAGGAGAGATAAGAAAGCCCTCCTCAGTGATCAATGCAAAGAAATAGAGGAAAACAATAGAATTGGAAAGACTAGAGGTCTCTTCAAGAAAATTAGAGATTCCAAGGGAATATTTCATGCAAAGATAGGCACAATAAAGGACAGAAATGGTATGGACCTAACAGAAGCAGAAGATATTAAGAAGACGTGGAAAGAATACACAGAAGAACTGTACAAAAAAGATCTTCACGATGGTGTGATCACTCACCGAGAGTCAGATATCCTGGAATGTGAAGTCAGGGGGGCCTTAGGAAGCATCATTAAGAACAAAGCTAGTGGAGGTGATGAAATTCCAGTTGAGCTATTTCAAATCCTGAAAGATGATGTTGTGAAAATGCTACACTCAATACGCCAGCAAATTTGGAAAACTCAGCAATGGCCACAGGACTGGAATAGGTCAGTTTTCATTCCAATCCCAAAGAAAGGCAATGCCAAAGAATGCTCAGACTACCGCACAATTGTACTCATCTCACATGCTAGTAAAGTAATGCTCAAAATTCTCCAAGCCAGGCTTCAGCAATACGTGAACCATGAACTTCCAGATGCTCAAGCTGGATTTAGAAAAGACAGAGGAACCAGAGATCAAATTGCCAACATCTGTTGGATCATCAAAAAAGCAAGAGAGTTCCAGAAAAACATCTATTTCTGCTTTATTGACTATGCCAAAGCCTTCGACTGTGTGGATCACCACAAACTGGAAAATTCTGGAAAAGATGGGAATACCAGACCACCTGATCTGCCTCTTGAGAAATCTGTATGCAGATCAGGAAGCAACAGTTAGAACTAGACATGGAACAACAGACTGGTTCCAAATAGGAAAAGGAATACATCAAGACTGTATATTATCACCCTGCTTATGTAACTTTTATGCAGAGTACATCATGAGAAATGCCAGGATGCATGAAGCACAAGCTGGAATCAAGAATGCTGGGAGAAATATCAATAGCCTCAGATATGCAGATGACACCACCCTTATGGCAAAAAGGGAAGAAGAAAGAGCTTCTTGATGAAAGTGAAAGAGGAGAGTGCAAAAGTTGGCTTAAAACTCGACATTCAGAAAACTAAGATCATGGCATCTGGTCCCATCACTTCATGGCAAATAGATGGGGTAGCAATGGAAACAGTGACAGACTTTATTTGGGGGGGGGCTCCAAAATCACTTCAGATGGTGACTGCAGCCATGAAATGAAAAGACGCTTGTTCCTTGGAAGAAAAGTTATGACCAACCTAAACAGCATATTAAAAAGGAGAGACATTACTTTGCCAACAAAGGGTCATCTAGTCAAAGCTATGGTTTTTCCAGTAGTCATGTATGGATGTGAGAGTTGGGCTATAAAGAAAGCTGACCGCAGGAGAATTGATGCTTTTGAACTGTGGTGTTAGAGAACTCTCTTCAGAGTCCCTTAGACAGCAAGGAGATCCAACCAGTCTATCCTAAAGGAAATCAGTCCTGAATATTCATTGGAAGGACTGATGCTGAAGCTGAAACTCCAATCCCTTGGCTACCTGATGCGAAGAACTGACTCATTGGAAAAGACTCTGATGTTGGGAAAGATTGAAGGCAAGAGGAGAAGGAGACAATAGAGGATGAGATTGGTTGCATGGCATCACTGACTCAATGGACATGAGTTTGGGTAAACTCCGGGAGTTGGTGATAGACAGGGAAGCTTGGCGTGCTGCAGTCCATGGGGTTGCAAAGACTTCGACACGACTGAGTGACTGAACTGAACTGAAGACAATAGAACAAGATGACAGGATAGAGTGATTTGGTGGTGGTAGTACTGGAGAGTTGTGAAACATCAACTAAGATTGTCACCTCCCTGAGGTGACATTTGGGCTGAAACCTGAGTGATGGCCAGGCAAAGATACAGGGGAAGAGGGTCCCAGATGGGAGGAAGAGCAAGTGCACAGACTCTAGGCTGGGAACGAGTTAGCAAATCTAAAGAACCTAAAGAATGTCACTGTGGGCCGAGCTAATGATGGGGTGGGGGCAGTGAGTGTATGAGGTGACGTTGGAGAAGCAGGTGGAGTCTGGGTCACTTGGAGCCTCATGGGCCATGATACGCAGCTTGGATTATATTCCAAGAACAGTGGGAAGTCCCTGCTGGCTTTACCAGTTGGCTTCTGCAGTTTGTGTTTGGGCCCCCTGTGTCCCTCATCCTGCTTCTTTCTAGAGTGAATGACGCCCAGATTTCCCTGTCCCAGGGGAATGCTTGGATCTCGGGTGGTCTAGAACCATCCATTCTGTGCTGTCACTGCCCCTCCCCAGTTTCACCTCCCTCTGCCCTGTCTCTGAGTGAGAAATCCTCATCGTTCTTAACAGAGGGGCCCAGCTGGAACTGGGGATTCAGATCAAAAAGAGACACCCCCTCCAAGATGGAAAACAACAGGAATCTTCCTGGAGTGGATCAGTGCCATCTCTTGTAGCAGCATCTCAAGACAGGAGTGAAGGTACAACCATGGGTGTGGTGTGTCCAATGCCAGGTAGGGCAGCGTCCCCAGGAAGGTGTCCACCTCGGAGGGAATTCATGGCACAGACCCCGCAACCAGCATCCATCATCTCAGCCTGTGCCTCATGAGGAGACAGCAGGATGATGGAAGCTTTGGGTGTCTAAGAAAGAGTTTTGAAAAAGGTGCTAGAGACTGAGACTTCTCCATGTGTCCAAGGCACGGAGACTATGTGTGGGGCTCTGAGTCCTTAGAAAAGCTGTCTCTGAAGCACAGTAAGGATTTGCTTGCCAGAAAAGCTGTCTCTGAAGCACAGTAAGGATTTGCCTGCCTTTCCACCAGAGTGGGGATCATATTGCCTTCAGAACTCTCCAATTCCCCTTTCCTAGACAGTATGGGCACCAAACTGCGCCTTCTTGTTAAAAGTAACTCCTTCTATTTGTACTGTGCTCTCAAATGTTGCCATCTATGCAATCTAGTTTAGCCATCAAACCAACCCTACAAGGTAGGGCTTATTCTATGTCAAAGATTATCAAATTAAAGGTCATAGAAACTGCCCCCAGGAAAATATAACTCTTTACATAAACTGTAGGGAAATGAACATCAAATGTGGTAAATATCTTGGAAATAGAGTCAAGAGGATTTTTTTTTTAAGGACTCAATGTGGAAGATGAATAATATAGTTTCTTTGTCATTGTTAAACAGACAGATAAATTGAATTCATTAAGGTTAGTCTGTAGTTCTTGCTAGAAAACAGCTATTAATTCTTCCAATACAGTGTTGTGTTTAGGTTTCTGACAACTAAAATAAAAACTTTTAGGAAGACTTTTCTCTTTTATTTTTTCTAGTTGTTTCATACTTGGGATAGTTCTAGATTAGTCATCCAATTAAGTCATCCAATTGTGAGTGTACTGTTTGCTTACCTGTTTACCAATGCAAAACCTTTTTTAATATGAGGAAATTGGCTGTTTCCTTTAGTGGGCTGATGTGGTTGAGATGGAGGAAACTGGACCTTGAGGTGGGTAAAGAAGTTCTTATTGATGAAATACAAACTTCAGCTATACAGTGACAAATGGGGCAAAAGGAGGTCCAGGATTTTGTGAAGGACGTTTGACAATATTTTAAATGAAGGATGGCGTTAGAGATCTTAGTTTCCCTAGACTTTTGTAATCAGTGATGTGCTACATGTAAATCACTCCCCTTTCAGAGTTGTTGGTCATAAGGAAAAGTTTAGGAAGTAACTGGGAAAGAGCAATTAAACTCAGATTTATAGACCTCCTACAACATGCCAGAAATTGCTGAAGATTTTTCTAAATATTATCCCATTTCCTTTCCAAAGAAACACTGGGAGGAGAAAATATAAAGCACTCTTTACAGATGAAAGGATGTCACTGACCCTTAAAGAGTTTAAGTAACTTAGTCAAGGGACAAAGCTGCTAAGTGGCAGATTCACGATTCAAACCTAGGTGACTCCACCGTTTACCTTCTCTTTACACTTCAGCCCTTGTAAATGAACATGAATGAACTGGCTTAATTAAAATTGCTGGTTTACTTGTATTTTTTAAATGTACATCATAATTAAGCTTCTGGCTGTAAGTCAGTCTTAATTTTACAGTAAGCAAGCAAGATTGACCTCCCTAACTCTGGAAATTTGATGGTTGAATTATGGAAATATACTTTATGGAACCACTCTATATGATATTTCATTTTGCTCTCAAGTTTAGAAGAGCTATTTCTCTTAAAATCGCAGTTTTTTGGCTATTTGATTAGCTTTTTCTTGGGATTGTCAAAAATATCTAGAGGGTTGTAATAAAAACAGAGTCCTAAAAATGTGAACAGTCAGGTCATGGGCCAAAGAGAATGCCAAATACTAGCCAGCATGGGAACCAAGACACTTGATTGTGTACTGAGGTATCATTAAGACCTGAGGTGTTAGCTCCGAATGAGAACAAAATGGGACTCATAATGTTCACAGCTTTCATGGTGAATTTATAATATTGAAACAAAATTAACTTCAGGTACCATTTTATAATATTTCTGTCAAAAAGAAAATTACCAGAGCTGGGAGAATCTAAGAAAAGCCCATAAGAACTAAAAAGGAAAATCCTTATAATTGGATTTTTAAAAAATGGGCTTCCCTGGTGGTTCAGCTGGTAAAGAATCTGCCTGCAATGTGGGAGACCTGGGTTCGATCCCTGGGTTGGGAAGATCCCCTGAGGAAGGGAATGGCTACTCACTCCAGTATTCTGGCCTGGAGAATTCCATGGACTGTATAGTCCATGGGGTCACAAAGAGTTGGACACAACTGAAAGACTTTCACTTTTTTCAAGTTCAACACACACACAACTTTTGCATTAGAGTTGTAAAAATTTTTGATTACATAGGAAAATATGTGTGCAATGTCAAGTCTGCTGCCTCAACGAGAATAATTTATTGAGAGTCCAAATATGGGATTTAAAAATCACTTCAGATTAGAATTATTTTCATCATGACATTTGTTAGTTTGTTTCCTATACTCCAGCAGAAATTTCCTCACTATTTTGGCTTCATTTTCCATCTCTAGGACATAATCTTGCAAGATCACCTCTCACCTTTATCTCTTGGTGACTGGGCACTGAGATGGGACATTATGAACTTGATCTGACAACTTAATAAGATGTAATAAGACCTGAAATAGGGGCAGTGCCCTCTCGACTGAGAATATCTAGATAGGTATAGAATCTTCTCAAGGGTATGTCTAACCAAATTCCCTTTAAGACTTCCCTTTAAACCATTAAATGTCTTTTCCTGTTTCAAACTAAAATGTGATCAGTTGGAATATTGGCGAGGAATAGGTCATTAGCAAAAACCCCAATGAAGACAATTGGCTTTGGGTTTGATTTTCCTGTTTTTGTGGTTAGCTTAGCACCAGATGGTGCCCTAGTGAGTTCTGTATAAATAATACAATCATAGGGTTGAGTGATTCTCTACCAGTCACAGACTCAAGCAGAAAATAGCACTTGTCTTTCTGCACAAGCCCATGTAGATTCCCTTATTGCAGATTTGTTCTTATGCAGCTCAAACTCTCAAATTCTTGTTATGGTTGGTGTTCTGTTTTTCCTATTTCTTTATTGGGCAAGCCAGCAGCCAACTCCTCATTGTGATCCAGAGGGAAGGGCTACTGATTTGAGGCTCTTTAGGTGATACATCCATCCATTGCAGAGAGGAGAAGAGGTGAAGAAGCAAAAATCTCTGCATTTCCTCTCTTGTTCCTGAAAAGGAAGAGTGGCCCCAACACTCCCTTGACAGTTGGTGCACATTAGGGGGTGAGGGAACTGGCTTTGCCCACAGAAGCCCTGTGGCAACCCCTACAGGCTTTCAAGGTCCAGCTCAAGTGCCAACTCCAGCCCATGATGCTCAGTGATCTTTCATCTTTCTCCGGGTTCAGATGACAGTTACAGTTTGTTCCTTAAGATCTAGCTCTTCATTAGGTTCTCTTTGGTATTATAGTTTCCCCACACCTCTCCCTTTGGGTGTAAGTCTTATCTCACCCATGGGATTCTAAGTTGCTCAAATCTATTTTCTTACAACCTGAATGACTTAGCACAGAAGTGGGCATTCAATAACTGCTGTTGAATTGATGACACATATGTGGGTCACAGCTCCCACACACTGGAGCACAGATTTAATGGACAGTACCCCATTCAATGAGCAGAGTTCATCTATTGTGACACAAAGGATTCTTGTTTCTTAAGAGTGATGGAGAAAGAATGAAAAACTTCCCCTGCTTTTCCGCTTTCATTTTACTATCCTGAAGATGACCCATATAGTAGCAAACCACAGAAAAGGTGATGTAGCCCATTGGAGGAAAATAGGTGGAATCACTGAGAACCTTTCTTCTTTTGAAAGCTGCCTGTATTTTTACTCTGGAAGCACAGATAACCATACGGTGTGTCCAGCATTCACAAAGACCTATAATAAAATTGAGCCACTCTAGTATTTTTATGAGCTTGGGGCTCTGTTTACAAGTCTTTGCTTTAATAGTTCCTATGTATTAGATGTTTTGGGGTGACCTCAAAAAGGCACTTAGGAATTCAGATCAGACTATTTAAACCAGTAATTTATTAATTATAAAGAACTAATTTCTAAAGAATTTATTTCATGTATTTCCCAAAATATCTTATGGTCTGCAACAGAGTTCTCAAAGTGTGTCCTATAGAATATTAGTATTTCATGACATATGAATAGATGCTTCCTGGAAAAATAATTGGTTGCTTGGTTGTTGGGAGAAATGTTACGTACCCTGTTTGCTTCTTGGAGCATCACATAGCATATTAAAGGCTCCAAAGAGTCTTGCAGCAAAAAGTCTGTTTAATTTGTTTATCTTGGCATTTAGCAAACATATTTGATCTCAGGAAGAGAATAATATTTAGTGAGTATTCTGTGCCAGGTATACATTAGCTTATCGAATTTTCACAATAAAACTCTAAAATTCCCTGGTGGCTCAGACGATAAAGAATCTGGCTGCAATACAGGAGACCCAGGTTCAAACCCTGGGTCAGGAAGATCCCCTGAAGAAGGGAATGGCAATCCACTCCAGTATTCTTGCCTGGAGAATTCCATGTACAGAGGAACCTAAGAGGCTCCATGGGGTCAAAAAGAGTCAGACACAACTGAGCGACTAACACTTTTCACTTTCACCCATATTTCGAGATAGGGAACTGAGCTTCTGCTGTATTAAATGATTTGTTCCAGGTCAAACAATGGCAGAGTCTTACATAGTAAATTTTCATCTTGACTCTGCCGCCAAGTAGCTATGCACGACTGTTTTGGACAAATAAGTCAATCTTGATTTCCTTATCTTTAAGTCACATCAAAATAATAATGGTTTAAAGATGAAAGGAGTTGAATTTATATTACCATGTTTTGACAGAAAAGTGCCACACAGGTAGCATTTGTACTTTTCAAAAATAGGAGGAGGAGGGGGAGGAAGAGGCAACAATTAGTTCCAGGAAACATGTTCACTCAAAACACACAAGGCTAAGTGCTAGACTTGTAAGAAAGTGAAAGTGTTAGTCGCTCAGTGTCCAACTTTTTGCAGCCCCATGGACTGGACCCACCAGGCTCCTCTGT